CCTACCTAAATCAATCAATCAATCAGTCTGTCTGTCTGTCTGTCTCAGCATTATTCTCTCTTTCTCCCTCCCTCCCTCCCTCCCTCCCTATCTCATTGGCAGCGGAGGTGAAGCACCCTTCAGGGCCCTCCTTTCTGACCCTTACCTGGAGACATGGAAGGTGGGTTGTAAGGCCTGGTGGGGAAGGCCAGCTGAGTGCCAGGAATGTAGGTAATCCTCTCCATCGGGGGTGTGCTCGGCCCCCCAGGGTGGGGCACCAAGATGGTGGGCGCCATGCTGTTCAGATCGATGATTCCTGGTCGAAAGAGGGAGGAGTGGAAGCCAACACGGATTAAGACCAAAAGAAAACCAAAAAGGGCTGCGAGGGGCCACAACTGCCTGCAACAATGCCTCTGCCGAGTGGGACCACAAGCGCCTGTGACGACGCTTGCACGAATCGGGCCACAACTTCCAGTGCCAATGCTCACGTGAGTCGGGCTATGGCTGGCCTGTCAGGCCTGCAGCCATCTTTTCTTTTGGGTCTTTGGCCTGCCACACTTTCTGTTATTCCACTATGCCTTTTCTATGGTGGGAAAATGGGAGGTGGAGATTGTACCGAGTTAGATGATAGGTAGCCATATCAACATTCTTTCTAGAAAACCAAGGTCATTCATTGTCTCTGAACCTCTGCACCTGACCGGAACTGGAGGGGTGGAACTGCCAGCATGGCAGTGGGAGATGGGACCATGGGATGGGCTTGTGGGCGTGGGGGCAAGAAACGCACTGAAACGTAATTTCACTTGTAAATTACAACATAAGAGAAAGCACATGTTACCAGGCCTGCAGCCATCTTTTCTTTTGGGTCTTTGGCCTGCCACACTTTCCGTTATTCCACTATGCATTTTCTATGGTGGGAAAATGGGAGGTGGGGATTGTACGGAGTTAGATGATAGGTAGCCATAACAACATTCTTTCTAGAAAACCAAGGTCATTCATTGTCTCTGAACTTCTGCACCTGACCGGAATTGGATGGGTGGAAGCTCCCAGCGTGGCAGTGGGAGATGGGACCATGGGATCGGCTTGTGGGTGTGGGGATGGCAAGATCTTGAACTTTCAACTGGGTGGGGAAAACGGGGACGCTTTCAGATTCAGGGTTTCCCCAGATGTGCCAACGTGGCTCTCTTCATCAATTGGGACTTTGAGGAATCCTTTGCCTTGGACTCTGATTTAATTCTGGATGCTATCCGGAATGTTGACACTCTGAAGAGCAAGAATCTTCCAGGCCTCCCATACCGGGAGTCCTTGACTTACGGCCACAATTGAGCTCAAAATTTATGTGGCTAAGCAAGGCAGTTATTAAATGAGTTTTTGCCCCATTTTACTACCTTGCTTGCCACCATTGTTAGTTGGACCCCTGCAGTTGTTAAGTTAATGACACCGTCGCTAAGTGAATTTGGCTTCCCTGTTGACTTTGCTTATCAAAAGGTCGCAAAAGGGGATTATGTGACGCCGGGAGACCACGACCGTCATAATTACGAGTCAGTTGCCAAGCGTTCTGAATTCTGACGCACTGAAACGTAATTTCACTTGTAAATTACAGCATAAGAGAAAACATATGTTATCAGGCCTGCGGCCATCTTTTCTTTTGGATCTCTGGTCTGCCACACTTTCTGTTATTCCACTGTGCATTTTTCTATTGTGGGAAAATGGGAGGTGGGGATTGTACGGAGTTAGACGATAGGTAGCCATAACAACATTCTTTCTAGAAAACCAAGGTCATTCATTGTCTCTGAACCTCTGCACCTAACCGGAACTGGATGGGTGAAGCTGCCAGCATGGCAGTGGGAGATTGGACCGCGGGATGGGCTGGTGGGTGGGGTGGGGGGTAAGATCTTGAACTTTCAACTGGGTGGGGGAACCCGGGAAGCTTTCAGATCCGGGTTTTCCCAGATGTGCCAACTTGGCTCTCTTCATCAATTGGAACTTTGCCTCGGACTCTGATTTACCTTTGGATGCTATTTGGGACCCTAAAAGCACGTTTTGGCCTGAGGGCCGAGAGGGCATTTAATTCCACATTTTGCTTTTAAGAGACATGCGACTGGGAAGCGCCTGGCTGCGTTCCCTGGCAGAGCGTTGGAAGAGGAGGAGGAAGGCTTCACCTCAAATCACCCACTACCCCTGCGATGTAATTGGAGGGTTGGGAAAGGCAGGGTGTTTTTT